GAGTCGTCGCGGTCGGTCACGGCTACTTCGGGTGGGTAAGTTGGGAGCGCGGGGGGCGCTAATCGCAGCACCACCGCTCCGCACGCGAACGCGGCTGAATGACATGAGCCGCTTGACTCCGTATGGTTTAGACGAGTCTCAGCTTCAGCGCGCCGTTTGCATTGTTATTATTATTGGACAATTTCACTTTGGGTGTTTTTGTTAGTATCTTGTTTATTTGGTGATGGCGTCGCTCGACAGATTCGTCAATGAAAAATCGGAGGAATCTGATGAGTACTCTTAGGTTTAGAATCTAGAATCTAGAATCCGATGAGCTCTAAAGGTCTTTTTGCACAGATGGATTAAGGCCACAACAACGTGGGCGTCATGAATGTGTAATACATTACACTTTACGGCGCTGTACTGTGCATAACAAACAAAAAACAACGCAGCCTCACACCGACTAATCCAACCCCCAACACCAATTATATAATTATCCAATAATCTGGTTGGGTTTTGGAACGCTGTCTCGGATAGTTTTTTAGGACCATTGTTGAACGAGACTTTTAAGTTGAGCATTAAAAAAAAACTTTTTTTACTGGCATAGATGTTGTTTGAGTCTGTGATTCTTAACTATGTTATTGTTAGTTGCAACGTTAGGTTAGTAACACTGAAAGTAAAATAAAAATCACAAGCTTCCGTCTTCACAGCACGATTGCTGTACTTGATACAGCAATCGTGCTGTGACGGTTCCACCTGAAGACGGAAGCTTGTGTTGCCTCCGAAACGTCGTGATTTTTATCTTACTTTCATTAATTTTATTTTTTACCTACGTGACTTTACCGACTAAACCTAAGAGTATGAATCCTTGCAGTCACGAAAGCTTCAAATCTAGAATTAGTAACACTGAGTCAGTGCTGCTGTTCCCAGTTTTTCTGGGTGAAGAGTTTGCGATGTTTTTTTTTCTCCCAAAACTTGGGCAAAAAATCGGCTCAACAAACTCAGTGATCGAATGAAATATCCCCTCAAGGTGCAGCGCATCTTGAGACGGGACTTTCAACGGACAGAGTGCTGGAGTCGTCAGAGCAAATGTCCAGTGGGAGCGAATTCCAACGTCGCCTCTTAGAATATTTCTAAATATATTGTAGGCGACGTTTCGGGTAACGACCCCTCTTCACGGCACAAAAGACGCGCGCACGTACACACACTCACACACGCGCTCACACCCAGCCACGCGATTGGAGGACCGTCTGTATGAAACTCGATTTTTATTCGGTGAAGAGTTGAGACAATTTACAGGATTCTTCTGTCAGAACAGAGCTGTTGAACGTCGTTCGGTCACGAGCACAAAGACAAAAATACCCTCCCCCCCGTATAGCCTTAGCACGCTTTTGGGGCAAGTGCAGTGTTGGCGAGCACCTGTGAAGGCCGGCACTGCACAGGACGGGGGCTGGCTCGGCAGCAACACCACGCCCGGCCGTCTTTGTCTCCCCTGTGGCGATGTTTACACACCGCACCAGGTACTCATTTGAGGCTGAGTCGACCTAGGGGAGGCCCAGGACCGGTTCAGTTAATCGTCACCGGTGTTGGTCGTGAGCGGGAATCGAACCCGGGTCGCCAGGTTCATAGCGCAGCGTAGCGCTAACCTCTACAACAACAACAACCGCCATTCGCCACTAAATAGCGGTGACGTCACCACGACGCTTGTGCCAGGCCATGTGCACCTTCAGGCCACGTGAAGTTGTCGAACGCCCGCTGGCAGGAGGTCACGGGGCAGACGCAGCAGGTGCCACGGGTCGACTGACTGAGATGACCGAGATGACTGGCTGATGCACCACCTGTGCCCCCTACTGTGCCAACTTGCTGTGCTTTAGCCACCCGGCGCTCCGCTCGTTGACGTGAGCACCGCTACACACACACACGTTTGTTAATCTGAATGTCATCATATCATGATCATCACCACGAGTGTTGCGGCTTATTCGCGATGGGCACGGGCAAAGTGTATCGGGGCGATGCAGTCACTCGCGGCGAGGGTGGTGACGATGAGCGAAGTGCAGATGACGCATTGTTGCGAGGGAGTCGTGACATCGCGTGAAGACGCAGTCGATATCAGCAACAACAATCAACAACGACAATCGATAAAGCAACCCCCCCCCCCCCGCCGCCGCCACACACACACACCCACAAAGGCCAAGCGGTCAGCAACAAGCAGCACTATTGAATTAAACGATGTTTCTTTCTGTCGAATGGGATCTGTGCTTTTTAGGGATTATTCGTTTAATAAAATAAAATAACAGCAATGTCAGCGCCGTATGGACGACGGTCTTGCGAGCATAACCTGCCACGGTTACTTCCAGAACCCATAGAAGGCTCTGTGCTATGAAGATGGGGTTCGTTGCCCGAAACGTCGAACGTATTCTACACGTGCAATGTACACGCCGCCTTTCGCACTCGGCGTGTGCCGATGTGTCCCCGTGTTGCTTGACGTGGCAAAGCTTCCCGGTGGGCTGAGTCGAGGGCTGCAGTTGAGCTGACGACACGTTCACGAAATCTAAGAAAGAAAGAAAATCAAAACGTCGCCATTCGTACTTTGTAGATCGTGCTTTGTAGATCGTAATTTATATATCGTACGTTGTAGATCGTACTTTGTAGATCGTACTTTGTAGATTGTACTTTATTGATCGTACTTTATCGATTGTACTTTGTAGATCGTACTTCATAGATCGCACTTTGTAGATTGTACTTTGTAGATTGTACTTTATCAATCACACTTTATCAATCACACTTTATAGATCGTACTTTGTAGATCGTACTTTGTAGATTGTACTTTGTAGATCGCACTTTGTAGATTGTATTTTGTAGATCGTACTTTATCGATCGCACTTTATCAATCACACTTTGTAGATCGTACTTTGCAGATCGCACTTTATCAATCACACTTTATAGATCGTACTTTGTAGATCATACTTTATCAATCACACTTTGTAGATCGTAATTTATATATCATACTTTATCGATCGTACTTTGTAGATCGTACTTTATAGATCGTAATTTATTGATCATACTTTATCGATCATTGTTGACGCCGCTCGTGTTCCGTTGCCAACGCAGCAGCAGCAGCACCCAGTGTAACCTGTCTGGCTTGGAACTAACTAAATCAATAACCCCCATCTCGCCACGTTCATCGCTCACACCGCGGCCTTGGAAGCCAAGATTCACATCGATACATATAACCGGCGACGTTTCGACCAATGCCCCCTCCTTCGTGGCGCACGCATCGATTGACGCGCGTGTTGAGCTCGGACGAGTCTCGTTCCCGCGGTCGGTGACGGGTCGCGATCTCTGCCGTGACATCTGTGCCCGAGGCGAGGCGCACATGTTTGTGAGGCGTCCATTTTGTTTTGTTGTGCGGCGTCCTCTGGCTTGTTGTTGTTGTTGTCGTTGTTGTTGTCGTTGTTGTTGTTGTTGTTGTTGTCGTTGTTGTTGTCGTTGTTGTCGTTGTTGTTGTCGTTGTCGTTGTTGTTGTCGTTGTTGTTGTCGTTGTTGTCGTTGTTGTTGTTGTTGTCGTTGTTGTTGTTGTCGTTGTTGTCGTTGTTGTTGCCGTTGTTGTTGTTGTCGTTGTTGTTGCCGTTGTTGTTGTCGTTGTTGTTGTTGTCGTTGTTGCCGTTGTTGTTGTTGTCGTTGTTGTTGCCGTTGTTGTTGTCGTTGTTGTTGTTGTTGTTGTCGCCGCTTCACATTTTAGAATCGGCATCGCGCGTTTGGAGTAGCTGGGCCGCTGCTATACATATACGCATGATGATGGTGATGATGATGGTGATGATGGTGATGTTGACGGTGACGGTGATGTTGATGATGATGGTGACGGTGACGGTGATGGTGACGCTAATGGTGATGATGATGATGCGACCACGTTGGAGGGGGGGGGGGGTGACCGGTGGGGGGGTAGCGGAGGGGGCGACCACGTGGGAGGGGGGTGACCGGGGGGGGGGGTAGCGGGGGGGGGCGACCACGTGGGAGGGGGGTGATCAGGGGGGGGGGTGATGCCAGCTGCCCTGATAAATTCCCTTCGATGTCAAATCCATCGCGTGTAGCTGCCCCCCCCCTCCCCTGCGCCCCCCCCCTCCCCCTCCCCCCACACGCATCCAAGCCACGCTGCTGCCCGACGTCACAATGGAAATTACCCAGACTGCTTTGCGCACCTGTGACGCCACCTCGCCGAGACTAACGCCACGATACGGGGAGCTGCGGTTGGTCCGGCAGTGGCATGGGGGGGGGGGGGGGTCACCGCATCGCGCGTGCTTCTGCGGCCCCGTCTGGAACGTTCTTCCTTCACGATGTTGGGAAGCCGCCGGGGTAGCCGTGCAACTTTTACAAGCGTCGTCGAGATCACCCAACTCCAATCCTTAGAGCCGCTCGTTGACGACACGAGATATGTCCTTCGGCCCCGCACCTCCGATGGGCGCGGTTGGATATGTACGGCGCGAAGGAAGTTCAATGTACACACGCAGCACACACAGCACACACGCAGCACACACGCAGCACACACGCAGCACACACAGCACGCACACAGCACACACACAGCACACACACACACAGCACACACACAGCACACACAACTTCGTGCACACCGCGGAGTTTTGCGGGAGTCATGAAATGTATCAGCGAGGTAGCAACACGTGCGCTCGAGTTGACGAAGCTCTAATTGGGCGGGGGGGGGGGGTGATACATATGAGTTGTATCAGCGAGGATGGAATTAAACGTTTGAAATGAAACGTTTGATGCTGATTGTGTTTTTTTTAAGTGTAAGGAGACCCCCCACCACCCAGTGTCAGCTGTCCCTACGCAGCACGGGGGTGTACCTGCCCACGTACGTACGCAGACCGGGCCCTGTCATTGGGCATCTGCCGTCAAGTCGACCCGAAGACTCAGCGTCTCTCCAAATGCCGTGATTATAATATAAATTGGATGTCCCCCCCCCCCCCCAAATATTCAAATGTGCTCAAAATATCACCCCCCCCCCACACACACACACACAATATATTGCTATAAAATAAATTTCTGTTTATATGATTGTGGTTATGGTTGTACTTTATTAATGCCTAATCTCTGCTATTACATACAATGAAACAAGAAAAGGTAAAAAAGAAAATAACAGCTGTGTAATACCATACACTATTAGACATTATTGCAAAAAATAAAATAAAAGTCAAGCCTATGTGTTAATGAATTATTTTTATATTTTAGGCAGGAAATTCGTTTTCAAATTTTGATTTTTTTTTCTGGGGCGGGGGGGGGAGACCCCCAGACCCCCCGTGGAAGATTTGGTCCCCCCCAATGTCAACTCCATTGCTTACTGCCTTGCCACGGAGACTCATAGAGTCGCACACAGATGACACATGAAGACCTACACACACTCATAGCGATACACGGAGACGCATTGGAGACACGTTAAGATTTTTTTCTAGGGGGGGGGGGGGACCACGGACGGACGGACCTCCAGACCCCGTGGAAGATTTGGTCCCCCCCCCAATGTTGACTCCATGGCTAGGGCCTTGCCGTGCGGTGTTGCATCGGACCACTTGGAAGCAGATTCGTGTGTAGCGAGAGGCGAGACACGCGGTCGGGGAACGATGCAATTGTGAACGAAAAAAAATCCCCGCGACGCAATTGTGCATCCTGCACGCGATTCGGTGACACGCGTTCATTTAATTTGTGTCTCGCGAAAGCAACGGCACCACCCACCCAAACCCATGTACGTCTGTATTATGTATAAGACTTGTGTCAGAATACACGCACGCACAATTGCATTGTACACGTTCTAATTCACGATCAAAATTGACGTCCGGATAATTGTCGCGTAAATTATAGACCCAAAGATACACGCACACGCACACGAACGCACCCATACGTACACTCACGTACACGTGAGCATGCATACAAAAAAACCGCAAGTTTGCACATACACAAACAAAGACAAAGATCCTTCGTGTAGCCTTCGCAGACGATTGGGGCAAGTGCTGTTAGCGATCACCTAGGGGGTGGGTGGCCAGCACCACGCCCGGCCGCCTTTGTCTCCCCAGTGGCGATGTTTACACACCGCACCAGGTACTCATTTGAGGCTGATTCGACCTGACCACACGCTCACATACCCCTAAAAAAAAGACGCACATGCACATACGCACACATACATATACAAAACACACACACACATGAACATGCATATTAGCCGACCCACAAACACAGTACACAAAAGACACACACACACGCACGCACAATCACATTTACACACATACACGGGCACACACACACACACACACAATCACATTTACACACATACACGGACACACACACACGCACAATCACATGTACACACATACACGGGAACATACACAGACACACGCACAATCACATTTACACACATACACGGACACACACACACACAATCACATTTACACACATACACGGGCACACACACACAATCACATGTACACACATACACGGACACACACACACAATCACATGTACACACATACACGGACACACACACACGCACAATCACATTTACACACATACACGGGCACACACACACACAATCACATTTACACACATACACGGACACACACACACACACGCACAATCACATGTACACACATACACGGTCACACACACAGATACAATCACATGTACACACATACACGGACACACACACACACGCACAATCACATTTACACACATACACACACACACACGCACAATCACATGTACACACATACACGGACACACACGCACAATCACATTTACACACATACACGGGCACACACACACACACACACAATCACATTTACACACATACACGGACACACACACACGCACAATCACATGTACACACATACACGGGAACATACACAGACACACGCACAATCACATTTACACACATACACGGACACACACACACACAATCACATTTACACACATACACGGGCACACACACACAATCACATGTACACACATACACGGACACACACACACAATCACATGTACACACATACACGGACACACACACACGCACAATCACATTTACACACATACACGGGCACACACACACACAATCACATTTACACACATACACGGACACACACACACACACGCACAATCACATGTACACACATACACGGTCACACACACAGATACAATCACATGTACACACATACACGGACACACACACACACGCACAATCACATTTACACACATACACACACACACACGCACAATCACATGTACACACATACACGGACACACACGCACAATCACATTTACACACATACACGGGCACACACACACACAATCACATTTACACACATACACGGACACACACACACACACGCACAATCACATGTACACACATACACGGTCACACACACAGACACAATCACATGTACACACATACACGGACACACACACACACACACGCACAATCACATTTACACACATACACACACACACACGCACAATCACATGTACACACATACATGGACACACACGCACAATCACATGTACACACATACACGGACACACACACACACGCACAATCACATTTACACACATACACACACACACACGCACAATCACATGTACACACATACACGGACACACACGCACAATCACATGTACACACATACACGGGCACACACACACGACACGAAGATCCTTAGCATGGCCTCATAGAGTGGTGTAAAGCGTTGTTAGCGAGCACCTATTAGGCCAGAAATATCGCACGGCAGGTGGTGTTGCCAGAACCACGACCGGCCCTCTTTGTCTTCCCGAGGTTGAGTTGAAACGCTGACTAATATCGCTTCAGATACCACTCGGCCGGGAACCGTTCTCTGCGTAATGCGCTAACCGCTGCGCCACCGCTCCCAACACGCACGAAGACAAAGATCCCCCGTGTAGCTTTAACAGACTGTTGGGGCAAGTGCCGTTAGCGAGTAGCACCTGTGAAGGCTACACGTACGAGCACGCACACACACACACACGTAGCTTGCACACCAATTGTGAGTGAAAAGCGATAACATCTGTACGGGAAAATCTATATATATACACAGATATATTCTCTCTGTCATTTGGTGAAATGCGTACACCTACACAAGTAACACATTCGCTAGGGGGTTTTCACATAAGTTAGAGACCAATTCAGCCACCACAACCTGCCACCATCATCACAACCACCATCATCACAACCACCATCATCACAACCACAACCACCACAACAACCCATGAACAATGTATACATCGCAAACTAACTCCCATATTTCGTACTTTTTTTTTTAGCAAATCTCGACTTGCTGAGCAAACGCCCTAAAGATCCAAAAACTTCAAGCGGTCAGTAACAATCAGCACCGTTGGATTTCTAAGATAGAAGACTTCATATCTCACGAGAGTGCAATACAAGTTCAGCAAGCTCACCTGGTCAGCTCTACCGGAATTAAATTTTGACAATGCAAGGTGAATTTAACGATTCTAAATGAATCACGCAATGTGGAACACGCGAGCCAATGCACAACTGATTAGGTAACATAATTAATGAAGATAACTGTACACAATTAATAAAGATAACACATTAGACAATACACAATTAATTCTAGATTTGAAGATTTCGTGACTGCAAGGATTCATACTCTTTGTTTTTTTCGGTAAAGTCACGTAGGTAAAAAAAAATGAAAACAACTCAATTAAATCACGACGTTTCGGGCGCAACAGAAGCGTCCGTCATCAGTTGGGAAAGCATGTTCTGCTGCTGATGCAGACTGTTTAAAACTAAAAAGTATAACACACAATCAATAAAGACAACACGTTACACAACACATACTTAATAAAGACAACACGTTACACAAGACACAATGAATAAAAATAACACGTTAAATAACACACAATCGATAAAGATAACATGTTACACAATACACAAGTAATACAGACAACACGTTACACAACACATAATTAATCAAGTAAACACGTTACACAATACACAAAGGCGGTCGGGCGTGGTGCTGGCCACCCACCCCCTCGTGTACCATTCCGGCCTTCATAGGTGCTATTCGCTAACAGCACTTGCCCCAACAGTCCGTTACAGGCTACACGGGGGATCTTTGTCTTTGTATCTACTCAAAGTGTACAGAAGCACGCGAAGCTAAGGGGCGAAGTTGGGGGGGGGTTCTGAAGACACGCGGTCTCCTTCTCCTCTTGGCTGATGTAGAAGATGCAGAGTAGCGCCTGCCTGGACACACCAGCCTCGCCACACAAAGACAAAGATCACCCCCCCTCGTGTAGCCTGGACAGACTGTTGGGGCAAGTGCTGTTAGCGAGTAGCACCTATGAAGGCCGGCACGGCACATGAGGGGGTGGGTGCCCAGTGGCGATGTTAACTATACATCGCACCGGGTACTTATTTGAGGCCGAGTCGACCTAGGGGAGGCCCAAGACTAGTTCAGATAATCGTCACCGGTGTTGGCCGTGGGCGGGAATCGAACCCGTGTCGTTGGGTTCGTAGCGCAGCGTAGCGCTAACCGCTACACTACCGCTCCCCACTCTGTACACACACAGACACACACAGAGACACACACACAGAGACACACACACAGAGACACACACACCAGACACACACAGAGACACACTAACACACACACCAGACACACACACACACAGACACACACACACAGATACACACACAGATACACACACACAGACACACACACACAGAGACACACACACAGACACACACAGAGACACACACACAGAGACATACACCAGACACACACCAGACGAGTTTGTATCCCCAGTGTTTATGTTTATGCCAGCTCGTAGCAGCAGCAGCAGGTATTAATTTAAGGCCGAGTCGACCTAGAGGAGCCCCAGGGACGAGTTCTGATACCGCTTGCCTCTGTGTACGATGCTATTTGGTTATTTCGGTGAAGTCACGTAAGGTAGAAAAAATAATAATAAATCAGGACGTTTCGATCGCCGCACAAGCAAACATCTTCAGGTGGGAAAACGGTGTCTTGTGTGGCCATCGAAACGTCGTGATCGATTCATTCCTGCAGTCACGAAAGCTTCACATCTGTGTACGATGTTAAGGGGGGGATTCAACACAACAACAACAACCGCCATTCGCCACTAAGTGGCGGTGACGTCACCACGACGCTCGTGCCAGGCCATGTGCACCTTGAGGCCACGTGAAGTGTCGAACACCCGCTGGCAGGAGGTCACGGGGCAGACCCAGCAGGTGCCACGGATCGACTGACTGAGAAGACCGAGATGACTGGCTGATGCACCACCTGTGCCCCCCTACTGTGTAAACTTGCTGTGCTTTAGCCACCCGGCACACACATATGCACACTGACAAATACATAGCAAGCAAGCATACACCACCACCAGCATAGACATTTACACACGTGGACATGCCCGCGTACACACGATTCCAAAGACAAAGATCCCCCGTTGACTGTAGGGGCAAGTGCTGTTAGCGAGTAGCACCTACGAAGGCTGGCACGGTACACGAGCGGGTGGGGTGGCCAGCTCCACGCTCAGCCGCCTTTGTCTCCCCACTGTCGATGCTCACCACACCGCACCAGATACACATTTGAGGCTGAGTCGACCTAGGGGAGATCCAAAACCAACTCGGGTGGCCGGGTTCGTAGCGCAACGCGGTAACCGCTCTCCCCCCCCCCCCTTACCACCACGCGCACAAACGCGCACGCAGCTCTAACAACAACATCAACAACATCAACAACAACAACAACCGACTTGCAAGCAACGGCAACGTCACCCGCAGCTCCGGTGCCAGGCTAGGTACTGGTAGGAGATCACGGGAAACACAACCCCCCCCCCCCCCCCAGGTGGTTTAAGATCGACTAACCACGCGCACGAAACAACAGCAACAGCAACAAAGACAATCTTGATTTGACACACACACACAGACGCATTGCCGCCCAACTTATACATTACTATTTTTAATATATCACAAAACGCACGACGTAGACGCCACTCACACGTTCACACGCGGACCGCAATGTACACCCCACGCGCACCTAACGGGTGTGGACCAGCGTCGCGCCAACGTTGGCGGGCCAACGTCGCGCCAACGTTGGCGGGCCGACGTTGCGTGTGGGTTGCCCCCCGATGGCTCTCACTGCAGGGAAACCCCTCCCGAGATGAGGCTGCTGCTGCTCACGACGTTTGCGCCGCTGCTATGAGTCGGCATGCCCGACGAGATCTCTGGGGAGGCTGACGATACGCGCGGTTGCTGCTGCTGCTGTTGTTGTTGCTGCTGCTGCTGCTGCTGCATCTTCTTATTCACTTTCCGTTCCTTCGCTCGTCGGTTCTGGAACCAGATCTTCACCTGCGTCGGCACAGCACGCAGACGCGCAGGTGTGCGCGTTAGCCTGTGTGTGTGTGCATACAGAACGCGCGCGTGTGTGCGTGTGCGTTAGCCTCTGTGTGTGTGCGTGCGCATGCAGAGTGCGCGTGTGCGTGTGTGCGCGTTAGGCTTTGTGTGTGTCACAGCTACGACGGCGCACGGGTGGCACAGTCGGGTTCTTTACAATCGGGTTTCATTGTCTTTTTATATTAAACCCGATCATCTGAGATTGGGAGAAATCCGGGTTAATTGGTTCTAATTGCGGCATCCGAGCGGAACTTCTCAACGTTAGTGTACGGTGGGTTTTTTTCTGGAATTTTTGCTGTTTTTCCCCCCTAGATTTTCAGTTTGCACATAGTCACATAGTAACTTTAAGATTTTTCTTGTTCGTGTGTTTTGTTTGTTGCGGTTGCACCCGATTCAAGAGCCGAATGGCTCACAGTGCTATACCTACTAAATGAACTTAATGGGCTTCATCCATTCCAAGCTAAGGAACTCACTGGCGCCCACGATTGTGGAGGAGAAGCTCGTGTTCATCAAGACCAACCTGCCTGCCGCATTCTACAACTACCTCGTGCCCGATGGCCCCGAGTACGATAGCAGCACCGACGAGGAAGCAGCCTATGCCTTGGATCAGAGTTTCGCATTCATTAAACCAGGTTTCAATCCCCCGAAATCGGGTTTAATTGTATTAAAGAAAAAACCCGATGCCTGCCGCTGTAAAAAAAAAATCGGGTTTGTGTCCACCCTTGTGACATCGATCGAGTTCCTGGCTGGAGGCCCTGACCTGTCTCTCGGAGAGGCCCAGGTGCGATGCGAGCTCGGACTTGCGCCTGATGGTGATGAATCGGTTCGCCTGGAACTCCTTCTCCAGCTCCAGCCGCTGATAGTCCGAGTACACCACGCGGTACTTATCCTTGGTACGCGTTTTGCCTGCGGGGAAGAACGGAGAGTTGTTGTTGTTGTGGTGGTGGTGGAGGGGGTGGGGGTGGGTGGGGAGGTGATGAATTGAAATCAGGGAATTTTTTTGTCGGGGAAATTTTTACAGGATGACGTCACCCTGCTGCTGCTCTATATAAGAACGGGAGACACAGCAGAGCCTCACCATTCTGGCGAATTGCCCGATGATGCTGGATGCAATTACCAGCGAAACGTCGTACTACTCAAATTGTAAATTGTTGTGGTTTCACGCTTCAACACACCGGTGGGCTAAAGCACTGAACTAATTGTCTTTTGTCAACGTGACACTTTTTTACTGATTGGCCGTGTCGGGTGGTGGAGGGTTACGACACATTTATAAATAACGCGATCTAAACCCAAAAACGTTGATTATGAATAATATTGGTCGCGAAAGCCTGCTACGTGTTAAACTGAGGGTTTTCTGCGTCCTCCAAAACTCCCAACCGCCTGGGCTCCCCTCCCCCCCGCCCCCTTCCCTGCCCCCAATTGGGGGGGGGGGGGCACGGAAATATATTCCGGAGCTCAGCCATGGGCAGCTCCAGCTGAAATGAAGGACCGATTTATATATATATTTATATACTTATTTATTTCAAACACCAAATCAAAACTAAATGTACTTGTTAAAGTTACGACGTATATCCGATGAGTGTTCCGGTTGTGTCGCGTGTTGTTCGGCGACATGTCCGACGTTTCGCTTCACCTCCCCGGGCGAGGCCTTGAACGCCGTGCCAAACCATCGCGCGCGTCGCCCCGAACGAATGCACAACAGCAGCATGGGCAGAGGCGTGCAATGAATACGTGAATAACGGTAACAAGTTCTGATTCTGCACAAGCCGCGACTAACCCAACTCAGGAGTGGCGTTACGCTGTTACGCTGGAGCTAATCACGTCTGCACCGAGGCTCTCACAGTAATTCTAGATTTGAAGCTTTCGTGGCTGCAAGGATTCATATTCTTAGGTTTTTTTTCTCGGTAAATTTACGTAGGTAAAAAAATGAAATTAATAAAAGAAAAAGAAAAGAAAAATCACGACGTTTCGGAGGCAACACAAGCTTCCGTCTTCAGGTGGAACCGTCACAGCACGATAGCTGTATCAAGTAAATGAGAGAAATTCCAAGAAACAGTATTTCTATATATATACTGGTTGAGGGTGGGAGGAGCCAAGGTAGGCACGTGGATATTATTTTTGTGAGGTTCGGTGCGGCTGAAGCACGCTGCTAGGAATGAGCCTTTGTTGTGTAAACTAGGTGCGGATGATGTAAAGGTGCGTGTAAAAGGGACTGAGCCTTTTTGTTATGTAGAGGTGATGCGGCTGAAATCACTGCGGTCCGAATCCGCGGCCACGTATGGGACAAGTTTTTCGAGGCTGCATGGAGGCGCGTAATGCGAATGCGCACGAGAACAAGGGAGACAAACGCCGTCGACAGAGATCATCACGCAGATGGACAATTGACTGTGTGTGGGGGGGGGGGGAGGGTGTCAGTCAGATCGATCGCGTCGTAAACCCTCCGCCACCTGACGCAGGCAGATTATTACTTTCGCCACGTGATGAAACACACGTGGGCCAATTATAGAGGGGGGTTTTTTTGGGGGGGGGTGTTAGATGGCGTCAATATATAAATGTGTCGTTAAACCCGCCACCACCCGACACAGCCAATTAGTGAGGGTTGTCACGTAAACAGACACATACCATCTTCTTGGTTCTTTCGGTAAAGTCACGTAGAAGGGAAGTAATAAAATAATAAAAATAAAACATAATAACATTTTAATTTTATTAATTTTAATTTTATTTTAATTTTATTATGTTTTATTTTTATTATTTTATTACTTCCCTTCTACGTGACTTTACCGAAAGAAACAAGAATATGAATCCCTGCAGTCACGAAAGCTTTAAATCAAGACACATGCCAATCAGTGACTTACTTCAGCACCACAAGGTGCGTTGGAGAGTCAAGCCACAAACAGCACCCACAATTCGAGTGCACGATTTCACGAACCTCGCGAATTTTCACTGCCGGGTGAAGGTGGGTTTTAACGACACATTTACGCGATCTAACACTACACTGTATAATCCTATATACTGTACTACTATACATTAGTATACACTACACTATACACTACTAGACACAACTATACATTACTATACACTACACTATACACTACTATACACTACACTATACACTACACTATACACTACACTATACATTACACTATCCATTACACTATACACTACACAATACACTACTATACATTACTATACACTACACTATACACTACTATACACTACTATACACAACGCTATACACTACTATACACTACAATACACTATACACTACTATACACTGCACTACTATACATTAGTATACACTACACTATACACTACTAGACACAACTATACATTACTATACACTACACTATACACTACACTATACACTACTATACACTACTATACACTACACTATACACTACTAGATGCAACTATACATTACTATACACTACACTATACACTACACTATACACGACTCTACACTACTATACACTACAATACACTAAACACTACTATACACTACACTACTATACATTACTATACACTACACTATACACTACTATACACTACTATACACTACACTATACACTACTAGACACAACTATACATTACTATACACTACACTATACACTACTATATACTATACACTACTATACACTACACTATACACTACTAAGCATTACTATACACTACTATACCCTACTATACACTACAATACACTACACTATACACTACTATACACTACTATACACTACACTATACACTACACTATACACTACACTATACACTACTATACACAGACTGTAGCTCTTCCCTGGGACTGCGTGAACAGTTACGGTGACTGTGCTCCCCGCCAGGCGTACTCGACTAACGAGTCTATAACACAGATAACAACCCCTGAAGGGGCCATACATTTAGTGCGTACTGTACGCATGGAGGGGGAAGGAGGAGGGGTTAACCCAAATGCGTCCACTTGCGTATGGGGGCGTCTACTGACAATGGGGTGGGTGGTGAAGCCTCGATAATAATTTGTCTACATCAACTGAGTTCGATAGTCCGGCGGTGTGGACTATCTGATTTGCTTCAACACGTGAATATTATTCATAATCCTTGATCGTTTCTGCGTGGATTAAATATCGGCCGTTCTATAGGATTCGGGGGGGGGGGTGGTGGTGGTGTAAAAAGTCCGCGTGCCTACAGAGAGGGGTCACGCTTTTGACAGATTGTGTTTGCGTGCGCACTCGATGGACGGCCCCAAACCATTCGCCACGATCCTGTCGCAAATCATTTGATGAAATGACGACGTATCTGTGAAACCACGTGAAACGGGGAAAGGCGTAAATCATCTGGAGGGGTACCCGCTGTGCACGAACATCAGCCCCGCAAGCAGCGAGCGGGTCTGCTGGCGGTGTTAGCGAGCACCGCTTCAGGTCGGCACGAATCACGCCGCGTGACGGAGCGAGGTTGGGCAACATCCGTGCACACACACACGTGCGTGTGTTTGTGGCAGAGGTCGCAAACGGGTTTTGATTCCTTACCCGTACCCGGCTGCACCAGTGGTCGCAAATGGATACCCGTACCCGTACCCTACCCGTACCCGGCCGGGTATCGGGTAGGGTACGGGTATCGGGTACCTGATTGCGACCTCTGGGATGAAGCCATGTTGCAGGCGCGGGTGGGTTGATTCTAGGAACTTGAATTGTGAGAAGAGACAAGACGTTGGGGAATGAGTGACAAACAGTTACTCACCAGTGACTCACGGCCTACCCGTACCCGTACCCGGCCGCACTAAGGTCGCAAACGGCTACCCGTACCCGTACCCGGCCGGGTACGGGTAGCCGGGTATCGGGTAGGGTACGGGTATCGGGTACCCGGTTGCGACCTCTGGTGTGTGGGGAGCGGTGGCGGAGTGGTTAGCGCACTGCGAGTTCGATTCCCGCTCAAGGCCGCGAACACCCGGTGGTGATTTTTATGAACCGGTCCTTGGCCTCCACCTAGGTCGACTCAGCCTTAAATGATTAGCTGGTGCCGTGTGCGGTAAACGTCGGGCGAGGCGCTGTCAACCCACCTCCTCGTTTATCGTGCCGTTCGTCATCGGTGCTGCTCGCCGACACGATCGCCTAAGTAGTCGTGTAAGCTGGTTGTGTTGCACAAACTGAACTTTAAAAAAAAATCTCGTGACTGGAAAACATCTTCCACTGGTGATGTTTACAATTTAATTTAGATTTAATTTTTCAATTTTATTCAAATTAAAGGTTTTTTGGGGTTAGTATCAACGTGACACATTCGTTCGCGAATGCCTGCGTACTTTGAAATCGAGGCCTCCCTCCCTTGAGATGTCACTGATGTTAGCCGTGACTGGGTGATCGGTGACACCATAACGAAGCTCCCTCGTGTACGAACCCCAAGCTCTCACTGTGAACCCCCTCTCGACGACGACGGAGAACCATTGTCCAAGTCTTCCTCATTGCATACATACAAAGCAACAGACATACATAGCACGGTTGGCTACTACGTACGGTGCGAAAGAAGTTCAACATGCAACTTACACACAAACTGACATTATTATTATTGTGCCGCACAGGGGCAGCTGCCCTTCGTCGAGTCCCCCCCCCTATGCCAGGAAGGACCCCGTCTACTGCAGCCGTGCATGGGAATAATTCGGATGAGGTCCGATGTTGAGTCCCTTTCAGAATACGTTCCGAGCATTAAGGCCCCAGAAACAAAACGCAAACGGTGACACCGCCCACACCCCCCCCCCCCCCCCCCCATCATCATCATCGTGGCGCTGTCAAACCCAACAATGGTTTCAAATGTGTGGCAGGGCCTGACACTGCTGATGAGGCCTTATCGGCGAAAGTGGCAGGCCCCCTGCTCCTCTGAAAATGAGTGAAGGACGCTGCCTTTGTGCATCAAGGGCTTTAATGCATCAGCAGATTCTGTTGTTTAAAATTTTATATTGTAACCATTTCTTGATTTGTTTACTCACTTTTATTTTCTGAAGTTTTAATTCGCTGAATACTGTAGTCGTAATAGTTAGAATAATTGCTATGAATCGATCTCAGCCATGAATGTGATTGTAAATTAACTATATGGCGTTGTGAGATGCAATAAAGAATGCATTTAAAAAAAACCCGTAAATTATTATGCTCGTCTTGAATGCCACCGCCAATGAGACACATCACTCTTGATCTCGGCCGAGCGATGATGACACAGCCACCGCGAACACTCGAACCCTGAGTCCAACCAAGACAAAGTCTCCGCAGATAGACTCCAACAGACTGTTGGGGCAAGTGCTGCTAGCGAGCAGCGCCTATCAAGGCCGGCCCGGTGCACGAGGGGTGGATGGCCAGCACCACGCCCGGCCGCCTTTGTCTCCCCAGTGACGATGTTTACACACCGCACCTAGGAGAGACCCAGGACCCGTTCAGAAAATCGTCACTGGTGTTGGCCGTGAGCGGGCATCGAACTCGGGTCGCCGGGTTCGTAGCGCGGCGCGCTAACCACAACACTAAAACTCAACTATTTTGTTTAATCTTCTTGGTTCTTTCGGTAAAGTCACGTAGAAGGGAAATAATAAAATAATAAAAATAAAACATAATAAAATAATTCTCACGACGTTTCGGCCACAACGCAAGCAGCCGTCCTCAGGTGAAGAACAGGTCTGTCGGGAAGACAGCGTCATTGTGAC